GCGCTAACGTGGTTTCGGCCAAAAAGCACAATGTGTTTCTTGTTAGAGACTCAGAGGCCAGGGCCTCGGGTTTTGCTTTTGGTGCCGCGTTAGAATATTAGGATGCAGCTCGATTCCGGACAAGCCGGCCCTTGAGGCGGGCTGGGGAGGGCGGCCGCAGGTTCCCACAGGACAGTGGTTAGCCCCAGGAACCTGGGTGCATAAGAGGCAGGGAGGGGATGTGTGTGCAGCCGGGACCCCGGTGACCCGGGCTCCCCACGGGGATGGACCCGAGCCGCGCGCCCCGGGGGTGCAGACTTGGTGACGCCAGCCCCGCGCCCGCCAGCTCGCGGGCGGCCCTGGATTGTTTTCCAAGACGTTATCTCTCGTTCAAGTTAATTTTCTTTTTTCATTTGGTGACCGGAACAAAAGTCCCCGGAAAATCCTTTGTGGAAGCCAAACACAGCCACAAACCGGGGCACTTCACAGCATTTGTAACTAAATATTTGCTGTGCTGGTAGTTAACTGGGCCCCTCCGCCAAACTCCCCCAACTTTGCTTTCTTTGAACGCGGGGAGTTGAAAGGCGATCTCCCCGGGCGGAGAGCGTACGCCTGAACGGAACTGGATTCGGCTCGCGTTTTCCCGGGTGTCTTGAGGTTGCGGGCGGCCAGGACCCTGCGAATCCTCGAGGGGCCGGGGCCGGGGCTCGGGCTACAGGACCGCTAAGCCTTGGCCGTGGCCGAAGCGCTTGGTTCACGCAATTAGCTGTGCGAGACAAGAAGTAAGAGTTTAGGCAGGTCTTCAAAAACACCCAGAGGGAGAAAAATAAACATCCCCTTGTTTGCTTTTTGTGGCTTTGCTCATTTTCCTCCCCTCTCGTTGCCCCTGTCTGAGGCTGTTTTAAGCCCAAATTCGGTTATCTGGTTTGAGGGCAAGGGCTCCCTCTTGCCAAGATATTAAATAAACAAGGCAAGCAAAAACTTGATTCCTCTTGTAATCCACATGCTGTTTCCTCGAAAACCACCACACACTCTGCTAAGCCAGATAACAGGGTCGGGAACAGGCGTGCCCTCCTCCCTGACTCGGAGCCAGCGGAGGACAGCCAGCCTCAGGAACGCCTCCCCGGGACCCACGACAGGCAGTGACTGCTAGCACTCCGCCTGCCCAGGGGCCCCCTGGAGGGACGCGAGCGCCAGGAACTGTCGGGAAGGTTGGCACCTGGCCCTCCGCGGCGACTTTCCCTAGAGATAAAGCCCGGACGGAGGCGGCGTCTGCGTCGTGGGCTGCCTCGGACCTTCCTGGCCTCTTGCTGTCCTCGGTCGAAACGCGGCATCAGAAAGGGGCTGAGACGCCCGCCCGCATTGCAGTGGTAACGACGGCGCGGACGCGGAGCGCCCGGGGCGCCCTCCTGCCTCCCCCGAGCCCGCGGTGGAGGGAGGCTGTTCTGGAAAAGTCCGGTGCTGTTTAGTGCAACCTCGAGGGCTCCGAGAAGAAAGACGGGGGACAGTGGGGGCGAGGGGGATCTTTGGAAGGTATTTTTAGGAGCCCAGCCTCACGGTCATCCCCGCTAGGACCCAAAGCAGTAAATAAATCTCGCCATCCGCTAGGGCAGCCACCTTCTGCCCATCCGCCCTTCCCTCGCGCCAGCCCCGCCCTGCAGACCTCGGTTGCAAAAACAAACTAAAGCAAAACCTTTTGCTTTGGCAACCTCTACGCCCCATTATGCCTCCTTCGGCAAAAGGAAGATTTCTTTCTTCTCCCTCTCCCGGCTTTTTTTTTTTTCCCCTTCTTCTTCTCCCCCTGGCCCCCCTTTTCTTTTCCTCTGCGTTCTTCCTTTCCCCAAATCGCTGGAAACTTAAGACGTGCAGCGGCTGCAGGTGCGCGCGGGCGGGCGGCCGGGCCGGGGCGAGCCTGGGACCGCCGGGCCTCCCAGGCATTGATCAGCTGGGCGCGCGCGCTGAGTGACGGCGCGGTTGCCATGGCAGCCGCCTGAGCGGCGCCGCGAGGACAAGGCTGCCGGGCGGCGTGAATGGGCGGCGTCACGCGCCTGGCGCCAGAGAGTCTGCTCCGGGGCTCGGGCTCCGGCCCCGCCGCGGCCTGGCCCGCGCGCCGCCGCCGCCGCCGCCGCTGCCAATTCATCACCTGTCAGGGATCACTCGGGGGGTCACGGGCGGAATGGACACAGCTGTGAGAACAAAACCGGGGGGAAGAAAGGCGAGCGCTCCCAATCGGGCCAGATGTGCGGGGAGGACCTGAGGCCGCCCCTCCCCCCGCAGGCCCCTCCCGCCCCCCGTTGCATCACGCGCGCCGGGCCGGGGCTGCTTCTGATTAACGCGTGGGGCTGGACTCGCCGCGAGTGCGCCGGGCCTGGCTGGAAACAGGGGCGTCCGTGGGGGCCCGCCAGCCTGCTGGGGGGACTCCCAGGGCCGGTGTGTGGCTTTAAATGGGGGGGCGGTGTCTCCACCTCACCCCGCCCCCACAGGAAGCCCTTCACACCTTCCCACCACCCACGGATCTCGCAGATCCAGGGCCCTCTCTGCAGCTGGGACCATTTGAACTTGAGAGGCCTCCATGCAAATCCGCCGGGACAGCCATTGGCAGGTCTTTCACGGCCTTGTCCCCACCCCGAAGTGCCCCGGCCCCATTTTCCCCACCAAGACCTAATTTTAAAGGTAATTCCGTCCGTCCTGGGCTTGCCGAGGCAGACAGTCCCGTGACTCGGGTCTTTTTTAAATCATTAACTTCTACAGCCTCATAATCCCCTTTCAATGATCTTTACGTGAATGCGGGGCCGGGGAGCCTGCCCGTGGAGTCGGAGTCGACACCACCGGGCTGCCTGGCCTCTGACAGGGCAGCTAAAGAAAGAAGCGCCAGAAAACTTTCACCCTGTTTAGCAATTTTACTGCATCAGGGCACAAAAACGGCCACGGGAGAAGGCACTGCCCTAATCAACCTCGCAAGTGTGTCGCGTCACGCCGCCCCAAGGCTCTCCGTGGCCCCCAGCGGAGCCTGGCCGTGGGGGGCGGGGGCGGGTGGGGCGCCAACGGAGACCTCGCGAAGGGCTCGGGACGCGTCGGTGTCCCGGAGCTGCAAGGTCCAAGAATCCCAAGCCATGATCTGAGAATCCCAAAGATGTTTGTTTACATTGGCTATTGTTGTAAAATAGTCAAAGTATAACATCACGAACCCAAATAGTGTCAAAACAAAATCTGTTCCCGTGGCACGTCTGTGACAGAAACACATGCACACGACGTCCATCAAAGGCTGGAGCTGCGGGGGCCTCGGGCGTTCAATCACTTCCAGACTCAGTGTCGGAGGGGAGGTTGTCCGTCGACCGCGGCCAGGAAGCAGAGGCAGGCGGCGCTGGCCCGGGCCAGGCCCTCCGCTGATTTCGCCGCTGGTCAGGAAACCGCCCACCTCCATCCTGCAAAACCGAGGGGCTGGGTTTTCCGCAAGTGACATCCACCTCAGCGCCCCCCCGCCCCCGCCAGCCCCCACTCCCGCCCCGGCCTCCCGAAGGAGAAGCGCTGGGGCAGGCTCAGGGCTGGCCCGCCAGCTGAGGAATTAATCATTAATTGAAGGAGAAAATACTGGTTCCCCATTGTTAAGCTCTGCTGTTTCTCCAGCTCTGTCCCCTTCCTCTTTTTAAATGCAAAGGAGGTGCGGATCAGGACAAAAAAAGGTGGGGACCGTGACAAAAAAATAAACCACATGCTCACGGGCTTTCCAGTTGACTGTATCCTGGAGTAGCACGCTCGAAATACAGAACTAATTTACTGTGGTCTTCAGCTATGCCGGAATTATGTGTGAATTAACTGAAAAGTATTCGAATAAAGAACTGCAAACTTTTATTAAAATGTAGACCGCAGGAATGAGTTTTTAAAGATTTACAGGGGGGAAAAAAAAGAAGGAAAATATCCTTAAGCTGCATTCATTACTACTGCTGAAAAGATTCCAAACCTCATACATAACAGAATTTAAAAAAAAAATAGAAGATGTCGGTCAATGGCAAGGGCCACCTACCTGTCACAAAGCTTTAAAAATACTGTAGGTGCTGGAATGTGACACCCGCAATCACCATTTGTGCATAATTAATTACATTACTTTGCCACCTACACTGCAGGACACAGACCCGCAGCCTCAAGGGCAGTGTATGTAAATACAGCTTCAATATGCAAATTATCCTAATGATTTCCGATTAGTAGGGTCATTATAATAGTTCTGCCCAGTTCTGGAAACGGCACCCCAGAGCGTCCTGCATCTCAGAGCTCCTGAGCGCTCAGCTCCGTTGCCCCAAGCACGCACCAATCCTACCGAGTTTACCATAACGCTCCCCGCGTCGCTCGGCTGCAAGGTCGGGCACCAAACCTGTCCTCGAATGCCCGCGGGGATTATTTTTTCCACAAAGCTTTTCCTTAAAAGCCCGAAGTCACTCTACAAACGTCACTGCCAATGCCAAACTTATTTGCGTTTTTCCTTTGTGCAGAAATGCTTTTTATCTAGATGACATTCCCTGGGTCGCCGGGAACTGCGGCTTTGCCTCGCCCGCGCAGAACTTGCCCGGGGCGCCGCGAATCCAGGGCTGCCGAGAGCACCCAGGAGCCCGGGTACACCCTGGGGCGAGGGTCCTGCCTCGTCGTTGGAATTAGAATTGAGATGCACACTTAGATCGCCCCCTCCCCCACCTCCTCTTCTTACTGACCCCGTTCTCTCCCCGGCTTCCCCGCCCTTCCCTCTCTCCTCCCAGGCCCCTCCACTCCTCCCAGTGCCCCTGCCCCCTCCCGCCCCGCGCGTACTGTACTCTATTTACCACCCCAGCTGGGCTCGCGCCCGCCCCGCCCACCCCGCGAGGATTGGCTGCAAACGCGGAAGGACCGAGCTCTTGCCCCGCGCCCGCGCTCGCCAATGGGGGCGCTCGCCCGGTCTGATGGACGCGTCTCCTTTCACCAATGGGGACGCCGGGAAGCTGGATCGTGTGGCCCCGGCTAATGCAGATAAAAGCCGCCCCGCCGCGCTCCCGGCTTCATTCTGAGCCGAGCCCGGTGCCGAGCGCTGGAAGCTCAGCAGGCGGCGGCAGCGGCGGCCTGAGTTCCAGGGCAGCCTGCTCCCTCCAGGTTTCTCCTTCCTTCCCCGCGGCCAGCATGAAAGCCTTCAGTCCAGTGAGGTCCGTTAGGAAAAACAGCCTTTCGGACCACAGCCTGGGCATCTCCCGGAGCAAAACCCCGGTGGACGACCCGATGAGCCTGCTGTACAACATGAACGACTGCTACTCCAAGCTCAAGGAGCTGGTGCCCAGCATCCCCCAGAACAAGAAGGTGAGCAAGATGGAAATCCTGCAGCACGTCATCGACTACATCTTGGACCTGCAGATCGCCCTGGACTCGCACCCCACTATTGTCAGCCTGCACCACCAGCGACCCGGGCAGAGTCAGGCGTCCAGGACGCCGCTGACCACCCTAAACACGGACATCAGCATCCTGTCCTTGCAGGTAAGACCTGCCCCGCTCCCCCGGCTCGCTGCTGCGCGTCCCGGCTGTCGCCTGGGCTGCCGCCGGCATACCCCATTGTCCAGACGACTGTAGTCGGTGACTTAACAGCTAAGCTAATTAACTTTATTTTTCTTACAAATCTGCTGTAGATTGAGCCGTGCGTGAAATTGCTCTTAAGTTCTGACATGTTAGTATATCTCTGATCTGAATTCTAGCATAAACACATTTAACGGAACTTGCTGTTCTGTGGGCTACTTTAAAAAAGAGAGGCCCTTTCTCCGTAGGATTGTCTAACATCGTGCCTTTTATCCCCTTTCTCTCGCAGGCTTCTGAATTCCCTTCTGAGTTCATGTCAAACGACAGCAAAGCACTCTGTGGCTGAATAAACGGTGAGTGTTTGCTCGTGGCTCCCGTTGGATAAACGGCCCCTCGGAGTGTGTTTTCGTGGGTGCAGGGATACTTGTGTATCAGTAAAAAATTTTGATTTAGTAGATGAATGTGAGGACAGGGGCTGCATGTAGGAGCTTCTAGCCCTGGTTACTCAAGATCCCAGAACATTTTCCTTAAAAAAAAAAAAAAAAAAAAAAGCCAATAACTCGCTATGAAGGTGGTGGAACAAACTGTGTGTTGGCTTCTGTCTGGAATGTAATGCCTTGGCCGCTCTGGTACTATGAGGTACTAACCTCCGTATAATTAATCTTATCGCCACAAATTCCACAGGGATCCTCCTTCCCCAAACTGGAGCCCTGTGGGACCCGGCTAGGCGGGCACTGCTACCCTGCACCTCAGCCAGCCCTGTGATGTGGGATCCGGCTTCCCTATCTGTTAACTAAAGGGCTGTTTTCAATCAAATAATTGTTACAAGAAGCAGACTGGCGCCTGCGAGCACTGCTGCTGGAGATCCAAATAGGAGATTGCGTTGGGAAGTTTTTCCCTTGAGCCTCTGCTATTTTAATGTTTAATTTGCGCTGTCGAGGCTGAGTGTGTGTGTCGCATCTGGACGCCAGGGTTTGCCCAATCTTTGAGTGTTTGGTTAAATGTTCAAACTGCGGCTTCCTCCCTGGCGCCAGTCTGCCGCCTCTGCCCTTAGGTTGCATTCTCCTAAACTCGCCTTTCTCTCGCAATCTTTTGCAGGTGTTCATGACTTTTTCCCCCCCCTTTGCACAACAACAAATCCACAAGAACTTATTTTTCAACCATTTCGCAAGGCGGACAACAAGTTGAATGGACCTTTTTAAAAAATGGAAGCAAAACTAAGAAGGATCAGATCATCCTTCCCAGGGTGTCTCTGACCTGGACTGTGATAGTAGCTATTTATGAAAAAGACTCTTAATGCCCTTTCTGCAGTTGGAAGGTTTTCTTTATATACTATTCCCACCATGGGGAGCGAAAAACGTTAAAAATCACAAGGAATTGCCCAATTGAAGCAGACTTTGCCTTTTTTCAAAGGTGGAGCGTGAATATCAGAAGGATCCAGTATTCAGTTACTTAAATGAAGTCTTTCTGTCAGAAATTACCTTTTTGACGCAAGCCTACTGAATGCTGTGTATATATTTATATATAAATATATATATATTGAGTGAAACCTTGTGAACTCTTTAATTAGAGTTTTCTTGTACAGTGGCAGAGATGGTCTATTTCTGCATACAAAGTGTAATGATGTACTTATTCATGCTAAACTTTTTATAAAAGTTTAGTTGTAAACTTAACCTTTTATACAAAATAAATCAAGTGTGTGTATTGAATGGTGATTGCTTGCTTTATTTCAGACGACCAGCGCTTTGATTTTTATCATGCTATGTTATAACTGAACCCGAATCAATACCAGTTCAAATCTATGTAGACTGTGTAAGATTATAATAAAACATGTCTGGAGTCAATATCTGAATTCTGGATGATTTTTCAGATCTCTTCCCCCCACCTCACCCCCATTTTACTGGATCCCTTCACCCCTTCCGCCACCGTCTGGGCCTTGTAGCTCGGGGACTGAGACTCCTACCTGATGGGTGCTCAGGGCTGGGAAGGTTAGACGCACACCAGCTTCTCATAGTTCCCCAGGGAAAATTAGTCCTGGGCCTTGTGGCTGAGTTTCAAACTAAGGAGGAGTTGCTCATTCAAAATAGGGCTACCTGTGCGGATAGGTGCTAAGACGCTTACCGAGTAAAGGAGACGCTTGCTCATCAGAACAGAAAAGGCTCCATAACCTTCACAACGCGATAGAAGATTGAGGGGAAGGGCCGGGATACCCGTGTGCTGCGGGGCGCGAGCACTGGACGCACTGGCCTCCCGGCTTCCCGGTGCCGCCTGCCTGCACCCGCGGCCCGCCGGGCGCTGCCGGGAGGCAGAGCAGGGCCTGGCGCACTTCGCAGCGCAGGTGGCTCCGCGAGCGCCCTTCACCCCTGGCTGCGCTCCTGGCCTCCCAGGGCCGGAGACGGGGGAGGGAGGGGAGGAAAGTGCACACGTGCCGTGGCCGCAGCGGCCCTCACGTGGCAGTATTCGGACCCTGCTTTAAAATGGGCAGTTAATCCAGATGCGTGTTTAAAATTCACAGGTACTCATGTATTTATATTATGTTCTCAAACTGGGAGACACTCCCCTAGGGGTGCGACGGTCGGGTAGTAGGTTCTGGAAGGCCAGTCCGAGGCGGGCTGACCTGGGGAAGGGACGGGGCAGGGCGGCCGACGGCAGGGAGAGGTGGCGTCTCACCTGGGGCCGCCCTCTGGGCCCAGCCGCGCAGATGCGTGGGTGGCCCTGCTGAGTCTGACCCCGCCGCCCCGCCGGCGGCGCTTCCGGGCCCGGACACGGAATCCATCCCCTAGCCGAGGACCCCGCTGCGCGGCGAACAGACGCAGCCCCGGGCCTTCGGCGTTGTTGACACTCGTGCTTCTGGGGCGGGGGCGGGGGCGGGCTCGGCTACGGCACCTGGCCCAGAGGGTCACCCCGACACAGGCCGCCCTTCGGACCCGGCACCAGGGCTCGGGTCGACTGACGTCAGCCTGCCCCGTGCGCCGGGCTGGGCCGCCGCGGGGCAAGGGCCGGGAGCCCGGGCCCCAGTCACCGCCCCCAGCCCGGTCCTCTGCTCTGGGGACAGTAGGGAGGAGAACGCAGACACCAGCTGGGTGACCTGCGCGCGGACAGGAGAGAGGGCTGCCCTGGCGGACGGTTTCCTGCAGGGGCCCTTGACTTTCTCGGGGAAGCCGCGCGGTCGGGGCGGGGCCGCTTCGAGCACCCGCGCGGTCGCCGGGAGCCGGGGACCCCGAGGAGCCCAGCAGCGTCGAGGAAGAGCGGCACCTTTCGGAAGGGACGCGCCTCGGCGGAGCCGGGCCGCCTGTGGGGCCCGGCCGGTGGAGGCCGAGCGCCACCTGCTGGCGGGAGCGAGGAAGGCGGCCCGGGAGCGGCGGGGGGGGGGGTCCGCGGAGCGGGGGAGGGGGCTTGGGCGCCCGAGCAGCCGCACAGTCTTTTGAAATGAAGGATGATGTCATGAAAGATGACCTCTCTAGCACGTGCAAGTCGTTCCCACAGGTGAACCTTATTTCATCGTCACTACTTCATATCCTTGCTGTAAACTAGCATCTACCACCAACTCAGGACTGGGTTGCTGACCTGGATTTTAATAAATGCATCAGACACGACCTCTGGCCTCCAAGGGGTGACCCTGCATTGTGGAGAAAAATGAGTTGTGGAGAAAAATGAGTTGTGAAGTCAAATGAAAGCCAGACCGTTTCTCTCCTTTTTCCTTAACTTTCTGTTTAGTTTTTTTCTGAGCTGCTTCACAACATTCACCATGACTTCCAAGATAATGGTAAAGGAGCAGGGGTGTCCTTAAGTTCCTCCAGATTTAAGGAAAATAGGCCCAGCTTTCTCCATTCTGCATGGCATGGCTCTAGGAGGAACCCTTCACTGCTAGGCTTCCGAAGCTGTTTGTTTTTGAAAATCGTAAAACAAAATATGGGCGTGAGTTTGGTAAATATTTTTACTGCACTGATATTAGCGTAGTACCCTGATTTTTCCTTGCGTGCCTCTGATAAACCCTGCTTGAACAAGCCAACACTGTTGAGTTCTGTTAGCCAATCTTTTACTAGAAATAGAACCGTCGTTGCTTTCCTGTCCTCACCTGGTTTTGGAATCAAGGTCACACTAACCTCAAACAAACGTGCAGGCCAGTTCACATTTCATCTGGGTTCCCAGCACAGAGCATAGACAGAGGCTCAAAGGCAGGCAGGCATGCGGTCTCTCCGTTGCCACAAACCTGGGCGCGGAGACGAGAAGCGAGCGACCAGGGGCGCAGCCGTCGGGGTCCGGGCCCTGGGCCCCGGAGAAGGGGCCTCTGGGAGGGCACAGAGATGGAGGGGGCGTGAGGGTCTGTGGGGCGCCGGCCTGAGACGGCCAGGACGTCAGGCCAGCGGAGAGAGAACTCGGAGTCAGGGCGAGAGGAGCGGGCACGGGCGCCGAGGCTGTGGCCTGAGCTCGTGGGGACGGCCCCACGGGAGCGGGAGGCAAGGTTTCGCAGCCACGTGGAGCAGGACGTGCATGGGAGCCGAGACCAGCACGCAGGACGCGCAGGGCCGGCGACCTCAGCTGTGTCTGCCTGAGCTCAGGCGGGGGAAAAAATGGCCGCCTCGAAAACCAAGCACCCTGGGGCTGCCTTCCTGAGGAGGGGGTTCGTCTGAGAATTTCTAAAGCTGACAAATTAACATAAAAATGGGTTCCTGGCTGGTGGTGTCCCTGGGGTGTTGGGCAAGCAGCAAACACGAAACTTCCTGGAGAAAGGAGCCCTCAACGCAGCCCACCCCAAATTCTCTTACTTAGTGGCTTGCTGAAAGTAAGTTTAAAACTTAAAATTTTCCTAAGCTTCTGAAAAACAGTGTGCCATGAGAAAATCAGTAGAGACAATGAAGACAGATTAGAAACCAAAGAACCACTATAAAAGCTATAAATAAGGATGGATAAAATGATTAAAGAGATCAAAAAACTAATTGAAAGCATAAGAAAATCACAAGCTACTGGAATTGAAAACTAAATGAAATGGTTAAAACCCACATTAAAACCTACTAGAGCATTTTATACACTAACAAGGAACAATCTGAAAATAATATTAAGAAAACAATCCATTTACAATGGCATCGAAAAGAATAAAATACTAGGAATTGACCAAGGAGATGAAAGATGTGCAATAAAAATGATAAAACATTGCTGAAAAAAGTTAAAGAAGACATAAATAAATGGAAAGCTATCCCATGTTCATGAATTGTAGAATTTAATATTGTTAAAATGTCAATACCACCCAGAGCGGTCTACGGAGTCCGTGCAATCCCTGTCAAAATCCATACTTTTTTTGTTGTTGTCGCAGAAATAGAAACGTCCATTTAAACTATGCACGGACTCTCAAGGGACCCCGTGTAGCAACAACGATCTTGGGGGAAAAAAAAACAAAACCAAGTCAGGGACCTTACACTTCTTGATTTCAAACTTTACTACAAAGCTACATTAATCAAAGCAGCATGGTGTCAGCATAAGGACAGACATATTGACCAATGGAATAGACCAGAGAACCCAGAAATAAACCCTCACATGTGTGGTTACATGATTTTTGACAAGGATAACCAGACCATTCAATAGAGAAAGACAGGCTTTTCAGCACATGGTGCTGGAAAAACTGGATGTTCACATGCAGAAGAATGAAGTTGGACCCTTACCTAACACTGTACACAAAAATGAACTCAAAATGCATCAAATACCTACGTGTAATAGCCAAAACTATTAAACCTTCAGAGGAAAGCAGATGGCATACGCTTTATGACATTGGACTTGTTGGTGATTTCTTAGATGCGACGCCAAAGACACAGGCGACAAAAATTAAAACAGAAAAGCTGGACTTCACGACCATTTCAAACGCTGTGCGTCCCTGGACACTGTTTGCAGAGCAGGGAGGCGCCCCGGGAACGGGAGGGAATAGGTGCCTGTCCGCGCCTGATGGGGGATGGGTGCTCAGGCTGGGCATCCGGCGCCCTGGCGGGAAGGGCGCGTCTCAGGCGCTCTGAGCTTCGGCGGGTCCCCCGCCCACGGCGGGGACAGTCCTCTCACAGCGTCTTATGCCGGTGAGCCAAGGTCACGCCTGTGAAAAAGCCATGGAAATACTTCTGTTGTCATCCGATCCCTCGAGCTCGCGCTGATGGGCTGCCAAGTGTCCAAGGTCAGCGACGGGGACCTGTCCACGGAGGCTGCAAACATCCCGGAGGTGAGAACCGTGCCGCTCCTTCGATGTCCTGTCATCTCTGACATTGGGCACAGAGTCTGTCTAAAGGGTTAACCAATGAATCATAGTATTCTCCATTTGAGAAACATCTTTTACAGATAAAAGAGAAGCAGTCCTTGTTAGAAGAAGCATTTATTCTAGACTATTACCATCTTTTCTCCTTACCCTTCACAATGTCCTCATACAATTTTTAGCACTTTGGCAAATAAATCAAAAATACATTTTTAAAGAGAGAGCGAGAGCAATTACTTGACCCAGGGGTCAGTCACTAAAACCACGGGCGCTTAGGGCCCCCGGCGCACGGCAGGCGGAGCATCACTCTCGAAGTGTGTTCAGGAAAGAAGTTTTTAAATAATTGGGTTTGAAATACTGTGACATTTCCTAGCATCTTGTCTGCGGGGAGGCAGGTGAAACGCATGGAAGCCGCAGACAAGCCCTGAACGGGGACTCCCTGTCGGGCGGCTCCGCCCCCACACCAAAGGCTTCGAGGCCGCCCTGGATTAAATCACCCTAAAGAGATGCCAGGAAAAAGAAAAAAGCCCGATACAGTGAACCTCCTTTGAGTCCCTAAGCTCTAAAAGGACAGTGACTTTCAGCGCCGGAGAAACGGGAGCAAG